CCATTAAAGTTTGTGCAGGTCCGCTATACTCTTCCAATACAGTTTGAAACTCCAAGGTCATTATTGAGATCCATTCAAGAGCTTAAACACTGATTGAATCTGGATCAACGGGCAATAATTTAATTTCTATTACGTCTTTGCTTTGTGGGCAAAGGAAGAGGAGGAACAATCGTGCCTTTACCCGCCTCAAGTGAAATGTACAGCAGACAAAGTGGGTTTAAAGATTAACGAGGTATATATATGAAAATAGGGTATATTTGAATTCAAATCTCATTGTGATTAAGATCCCGAATACTATAACAGGAAGAAGTTAAACTTAGTTGGTCTTATGAAGTCATTTTTAAAACCTAGAGACCAGACAGAACGTTTGTGAATTAAGCCTTTTTAACAATTTAGGCAATATCATTATTAATTACAAATTTTCCTTCTGTGATAATATTTAGACAGCAAATCAATAATAAATAAATTTCGTTTTCTTCCTAAAATTATTAAAGATTAAAATTTGATTAATTCGAAAGTAGGGCGGTTTTATTAGTTGTTTGTTCGTACTGCACATCTAAAATATTTGTTTCCATTTTTTTGAAGAATCCATAATCTCAATTCGATTTCAATCATAAGTCCTATTAATGATAAAACATCACTTTGATTGCAATGACATCGCTTTGTAGTGTGAAAAATAAGGGGAAAGCCCATGTTTCCCTTTTCATTTTTAGTCTATCAAGTCCATTAACTGAATACAAGAGACTTAGGTAAGCACCTATTTAAATATGTTGCTATGCTCCTCTTACAGAGCATATAATAAATAATTCTCCAGCCTGGTCATAAAGATACTTTGCTAGATACTCATAGGTCCTTAAGCTTTAAGTTTATTCAATGACTATTGAGTAAATATTTATTTCAAATGTCAGGTGTTTTGATAGTTATCATTAGCCATTTAGCTGACTTCGGGCTTCACAGAGGGGATGAGGAATACCAAAGTGGCAAAAATTCGAAAGGGGGGACAGAATAATGATTCAAAAATGTAAAAGAGACTGACACAAAGGAAGATAAAAGGTAAGTTGAGTACTGTGGAAGTGGTGGAATATGACATGCAGTCGGGTCATGGTAGTTTGAAGTCAGAAGTAGACTGCCGGTTTGATAGACTTTTTACCGTATGAGTATACGTTGCCCAGAGTGCACCACGTGGAGGTAAGTCTATCGCACACCCCAATGAATAAATATGATTGATGCAGAGCTGCTTTCACAAATCTGCATAATAATGTCATGATTTGCTCATTGCGATCCAGTCATTTATTTGATTTGGCTCCGAACTCTATATAGCCCGCCTTTAAAAATAAGCGAAAGAGAGTTCCTTCACAATTTGCTTAACATAAGAAATACAGTATTTCCTTATTCAAATGCTCTCAAGTGCCTCAGGTAGTCTCTGCTTCTTGTTGAATAATATAAATTTAATTCCATTCAAAAATACCAAAAATATCCTCAAAAGTAGCCATAGAGGAGAAATGATTACAGACTTCAACTACTATGACCCTATAAAACAATTCGCTTGTCAGTGTTATTAGCTAGTTCAGTTAAAAAAATTAAATAGTCAAGCATTATTGTTTATGTTAAAGGGCAGAAAAAAATCAAGTAAATTGTAATATCAAGGCGAAAATTAATAATAATCTATATACTTTCATTTCCTCATTGAAACTTCCAATTTGAAGCGTTTACTTCCACCTATGATTTCTGAACTTTTGATGAGTCAATTTTAAGGACTATGCAACTTGTTCTAAAGTTCTTTTTCAGACCTTTGCAAATTCACTTATTGAGAGGTTTATAGATGGCAAAAAATGGGATTTGCCTGATTGACCACACCTCAGCCAACTAGGAGTGACTGATTCAGAAATCACTAGTAAACCCGAGATCGAAAATAGTGAAACTGCCTCCTTCTGTTACTTTTCCTCGCATCATTGGTCATGTCCTTCGGTATTATAGCATACTGTACCACTCATTAATGCTTCTTCCGGTAATTCCCCACTCACCATCGAAAGAGGAATCGTCCTGTAAGTCGATAGGAGCTTTCGAATAATCACCTCCGTCAATCCTACTCCTTTCTTATTCATCATGACTTTTTCGAATAGGTGAAATCTTTGCTTCTCCATCTTTAGTATTCATTGAACCGAGAAGAAGAAGAATGTATTTATTTATCTGACATTAGCATTTTTGGGATAGCATGTGTCCTGACGATTGCTGATATTCAGCAATGTCTGCTGTCAGCTTCTGTTTTAATTTCTGCCACTTGCAGTATGAATCATCAAATACTAAGTGGATAAAGTACACTATACTTCACTTTCAACCAGTGGATTCCTAGATGACTTGAGTGAATTTGTGAACGAATTCTTTGCATGAATGCAGCCGGTATGACAACTCTCTCATTGCATATCAAACAGGGATCTATGATAGAAAGCGCCTTATGGCGATGAAATAGATCCCTATGCTCATATTGTAATGAAAAGAATGGTCATTTCGTTTCATATATTTCGCGGATTTTCTGACTTTAAGTTTTTCACTGAAGCGTACTCTGTTTACTCCGCCGCCGTCCCCGCCGCTGTGGCAGAAATAACTCCGTTCGAGTCGCGAAAATGCAGTTTGTGGTCGTGTTGGTAATGACGGCGTGCTTCATTAGGCCTCATAGATTCACTATTAACCGAAGTAATTTGTCACCTTGACTGACCACCATTTGGTTCCAATAATTATTTCGAAAAGGAAACCAAATTTAAAGATGTACGATGCATAAACTTCTTCTTCTGTAATGATAACGAAGACAATAATTAGACATTATTTTAAATATAAAGAATTGAGAATAGAAAATATTAAAACCTATTGCTTACAAATATCTACGAGTCAAATTTCCTTTTTAGATTAGTTTAAAAATATATGATTGATTTAGTAATCGCGAGTTTGAAATTCAATTCACGCAACTAACGCCAATGCCTCTAAATCAAACACAGCCCATGTAAGGTTTGAGAAATCAAAATATTAACATTTTACTAGAATGCAATTGCCTCTACTGTAACATATTTTAATTTTATATTTAAAGTTACGCAGTTATTTAAGTACACCCAATTATGAAAGGCCTCCATTCCCATACTTTCATGTGTACCTTCCCTACTTTGATGCTTTAGAAAAAGAGATGTGCAAAAAATACGTGTCTACAGTATTTAATTGCAGTGCATACTTTTGGCCAATGACATTCTTGCTAACGCAGGTGCCTTCCACTTACGCTCCATGGGAAATTTAATCGTAAACACCACCGTAAGCGGAGTGAGGCAGCTTGAAATTGATGCAAAAACATTCCACAATATTGGATGTCCTCTTATAATCACTGGGCTTGCCACCGTTCTCTTGACGCTATTCACACTGTTAAAGGACACGCAAACACTCACATCGACTCGTCTAGTTTTATCATGTGCCGTTATTGCCGATGGTGGTCATCTCATTTGTTTGCTGACTTACCTCTGTGTAGTTGAAAGAGCTGACCCAACTCAAGCTTACTTACACAGTATGCTCTTCTATTTCAAACGGTTCTTTGAGACATTTCGTAATTGGATTGTTGTGGTAATGGCTTTCGAGCATTTTCTCTTCTTCTACAATCCTCGCGAATTTAAAGCCTTCTGGGCGGTTGATTTCGCAAGAAAACTCGCTATGTTAGTAGCCTTATCATCTCTTATTTTCCATTCCCTACATGCTGGCTATGCCATAGCTTTTGATCGATTTTACTATCGTCTCAATATGAAGCATACGCTTAGTACACAATATTACATTACCGAGTGGGTGTATATTATTGGTATGCCTTTTGGTCTGGCTACAATGATTTACTCGACAACTATGAAGTGGTTTGAGGGTGAATCGATGCTTCATATTCAAGATACAAATCCTACTATGGTTAAGGTGGAGATGGCGTATCGGAATATTTTCTTCGTATTTGCGTTTACTACCGTTCCATCAATTTCAATATTATTTGTGTACATTTTGAATGAATTCTACCCCGATCGGTTGGAAGAATTAGAAACTATCGAAACTTTAGTTGCAACTTGCTTGACTCATCTCACGATCCTAAATTCTGGATCGAAATTCTTTATTCTCATCTTGCCAATCAGTTATTACAGGCGTTTATTAATAACAATGTTTCAGTAGATGAACTGACGGAATATATTGATATTATTCATCATGCTTTCCTTTACGAGGTGTACCACAATCATAAATAAGCATTACTTATTATATGGCTGTTCGTGTTTAATATCATTAAATTATAAAAGCAATGAATTTTATGTTGTGTTCAAAATTGCCATTTCATTGAATTGTGATGTCTTTAAGTTATTTGTCCTAAAATTGCTCAAATGGCTCAACGAACCGTATCAATTTTAAAATATCGATTAATTAATAAATGTAAAAGTGCATTAAGTGGTTCAGAAGCCTGTCCGTCGCTTAAAAATACTTAAATGCCTTAGGTCTACTAACTTTTCACTATTCATCGAAAATTTAACTAAATAATCGCCACTTACTCTGAGGCATCACCTTTAAGGTGTGCTCAGCGCTGTCATGGCTGAACAAAGAAATCTCATGTTCACTCAGAAAGGCTCAAAGGTGAGATTGTGTTCTACTTGTCGCGTTAGGGAACAAGTGTAGTCGTGAGTGCAAAGACCTCTCAGCCAGCCACCAATAAGGACTCGCTTGATTGTTTGACAAACCCCTAACCATATTTTAATGATTAGGCTCTATATCAGACTGACAGGCCTAATAGATGCCATATCTGTGCCTTCTCTATATTGTTGAGGCGAATTTGCCAGAGAGCTTACTAAGGATAAGTCAAGACTTAATCGTTTATCAATCTGATGTATGATCTGGTATTTTGAATGGTAAACAAACGCATTTGAATAAAATCCTGCTCCTCACCTATAGTAGGTATTTAAAAATGTGGTCAAAAAACTTCCAATTGGAGTCGGTGGGAATGGAGTTGACATTCTTTCCAAGAATGATCATGATGATCATGTTCAAAGCTAAGGGGTTATTCTGGTCTAGAGACATGAATTTTAGGTAATTTTTGAAGTGCTGCAAAAAACAGCGAGCAATATTTTTATTATCAATTTTTTCTACATTATTTATTCGCATTAGAAGCGTGCAAAAAATAAAAAAGCAAAAAAATTCAAAATTTCGTTAGTTATCAGTTGATGGAGTGGGGCGTCTCAAAAATACCACGATTTTAACTCTCCAAGCAATCTGAAATCAAAAAATGAAAAAGATAATCAATCTACAATAATGTCTCAATGTCTGGAACTACGGAAAAGTTACAGAAAATTTTTTTCAAAATGGCGACTGCCTAAAGAAAACAAATTTTTGTTCCACTTTTTTTGAACATTCTTCAATTTTTTAAAAATAGTAAAAATTAAAATTTGGGGATGGCCGTACTTCCAGACGTAGACAAGTCCCAAAAGAAGACTCTCTTAAAATTTCAAGTAAATCGGTTTGGGAGAACCTGAGAAATCGTGGGTATCATATTCAAAAAGACTGTTTTGAGAAAAACGCGTTTAAAGTGCCAAGTTAAATTTTTGCAGTATAAACCATAAAATTATACTTTTGACTCACATTTATTCAATCTGCCATTCCTTCTGCATGCATCTGATCTTCCTCGACTTCGAAAAGACTATTTTCGGCGTCTCTGTTTTCTAATCGAGCAGTTCTGGCCTCCTTTGATGCGCTGGATGCTCGTATCTCGGAGCGGTCAATCCGAGTGTTGCCTCGTCTGATAGCAAATGCAAGTGCTTCTGGACCAATTTTCACTCCCATAATCGTCATCCTCTTCAATATCGGTATAAAGTCTTCATTAAAATGGATATGTTTGGAGCGAAAGTTCATATCAGCTAGTTTAGAGACTCATTAGTATTTTGAGTTTCTGAACCCAAACATCGAATCAATGACTCTTCTGATGGTAAACTTCAAAGGATTCGTCAACGAATAGATATGATGAAATGTAGCGTAGACTATCGTAACTGCATCGTAATGCAATTTTGAACTCGAGTCCGCGTTGAGCCGTTCTTTAAAATCTAATCTCGTTGTTGTATGTAGTACACGAAATAAACGAAAAAATCGTTGAAAAGACTGCGAAAAACTCCAAAGCACAGTAGCCGTAATTATTACCTATAATCACCTCTTCATCATTTGATTTCCTCAATTTTGCTGCTGATGCACTCATAGTTTTCTTCAATTTTGATGCACTCGTAAAACTGGTGTTTTCCTGTTCCGTAAATCTATTGCCGTGAAATATATGTATAAATATATAGATAGGTTGATAGATAGATAGATAGATAGATAGATAGATATAACGGAACAAAATGGCTAACTAAGAAATATAGATTCAGATAATCGGAGAGCCCCTTATGCCTTTTGTTCGATTAGTTGTAGCACAATCGGTTTGGAAGCCTGCTCAGGAAAATACTTATTTCTCCGAAAATAATTTGAATTTTGGAAAATCCTCTCGTAGACATATTTTAAATAGTTAAACTATGAAAATATGAAAAAAAATCGATTTTTTTTATTTCTAGACCAGAATACCCTCTTAACAGAATCTAGTTACCATGGCAAGAGCCTACACTGCACAAGCTTCTACTTCTACTCAAACAAAAATTTTAGCGTTATCTAATGAAAATTACATCCGTTAAAACATTGAAATTAGGGTTTGTATACTAGATAAATTTTAGCATCAAACTTTCTTTGTCGAACAATACATCAGAATTGGTGAACCATTTAATGATATCTAAATTGCGAAATATATTAGTTTGGTATTTTGTCTGTTCATTGGGGCGTAAATCGATTTTTCTCACCGAATAGTGCAGTAGTGACTAACTGCACATTTCGACACATCGAGCCACGTGAGATGCCGTATTCAAAATGCAATTTTAAATACGGCATTTGATGAAGGTAGGTATTAGGTTTCATAACTCAAATATATATTGCGACCACGATTCCTTCATCTTTCAAACTTCATCATTAGTATTTGATTTTATAACTTGACTACTACTAACCAGGTTCAGCCTAAAATCGACTGTGATAAGGCACTCATTCAAACTCCATCACCAGCGGATAAAATTGAAATCATTTAGCCTCCATTCTCATAACTCGGTAAACTGATTCGCATTTAATGAGCAGAATTCTGCAACTTTTCATATTCTCAATGAGGGATGTGCGATAGACTTACCTCCATGTAGTGTACTCTGGTCAACGTATACTCATACGCCAAAAATGTCTATTAAGCGGCAGTTGACTTCTGGCTTCTAACTACCATGACCCCGCTGTATGTCATCTTCGACCCCTTTCACAGTACTCACCTCGCCTTTTTCTCTACCTTTATCCATCTCTTTTACATCTGTGAAACATTATTCTGTCCCCCATCTCGACTTTTTGTCACTTTGATGCTTATTCTGTCCCCCATCTCGACTTTTTGTCACTTTGATGTTTCTCCTTCTCTTTGTGAAGCCTGAAGCCAGCTAAAAGGCTAATGATGATTATCAAAACGCCTGCCACTTGAAAAAAATTATTCTCAATGGTATGTAAATCAAAGTTATTCAAAATAGGTCTTGAAATCTTTTTTTATTTGAAAGCACGATGACTAAATCTGTAACAATTCACACTCCACATTTTGACGACAGTATTATTTATCTACCGCCATTACTGAAGCCTGTAGGCAACGCTTCTTTGGCTTCTAATTAATTTCATTAAGTTTTATATTTATTGACGTTGGAATAACTTCTCAAGAACGCTACCATCCGTTCCTCGCAATGTCAACATTCAAAAAATCCACACACAGAGAACAGAACAGAAGTCGCTTTATTTAAACACTCAACAAAGTCGTTGATTCAAGTAAAAGCACAGTTGCTAAGACGATAGAGATACCACAATCCAAGATTCTAAATTGTGATAAATTTTGAAATACGATTCTTTCAGCTTTTGAGAAAATTAAAGCTAAACTTTGAGGAGACGCGTTTAACTGTAATTTCCCTGCAACACAAAAGCGTATCTCTAATCTCTCTGTTAGCTAGAAGCAATCAATAATAATCTACGTAAAGATTCCTATAATTATTAAATGCTAAGATAATATGGTCATGAAAATAGTCGTTCTCATACATTTACTCCTCCTTTACTGCTAAACTTTAATTACAATATTCGAATAATTTCAAATTTAATATAAATTATTTCCATATCATTTATACATAAAGTTAAATATAATTAATAGAAGAGTGCATCCAACTACTATTTCCTTCCTACTATTATCTTCTTTTTGTTATTTCAGTACTGGAATGCATTATTCCTTTGGAGACTTTTATTAATTAATTATTTATTTATTTCAAATGGCAGGCTTTATGATATTTATCATTAGCCCTTAATCTTTGACTTCAGCTTCCCCCAAGAGGGGGGGTACATTTATAGCAGTTAATTAATAGCAGTTCATTAGCAGTCTTCTTGCTTCCCAGTATCTCTGGCTTTTCGTCGTTGTCTTTAGGGCTGGACACCGAATCAGGTGGGTCTTCTCCATTTCCTCATGTAGGTTACATAGAGGGCATGTGGGTTGAGTGTATACTCCCAATCTGTGAAGGTGTTTTGCCAGGCAATCGTGTCCGGTACGTAGTCTAAACTCACCAACGGCTTCGATTCTTGGCCAGTCGGCTATGTCGGAGAGTGCCACTGTCCACTGTTTCTCCTTTGTTCGAGCTTTGAGTTCGTTGTACCTTGAGGTCTGGAATTCTCTCCTGATTAAGCCCTTCATTGTGTGGAAAGACATGGGCCGGTCCATGCATTGCAAAATCGTTGTCCCCTTCTTAGCAAGTGTGTCAGCAAGCTCATTGCCTTTAATGCCACAGTGACCAAGAATCCATTGTAGGACCACTATTTTGTTTTTCTCTCTCAGCAGCTCATAGAGTTTTCTACATTCCTTTATCTCAGCTGTTTTTGGGTGGCTCTCTGTTTCCAATAGAGTCTATTGCTGACTGTGAGTCCGAAAGTATGACCGCTTTGGTAAATTTCGTATCCAGGCAACATAATTGGCATAGTGCTATCCTAATGGCCCCTATTTCTCCTTCAAAAGCGGATCTATTATGTCCCGCTGCTGCGTAGAAAGAGAAGAGTTCAGAATAGACACCTGC